CTGTCTCGCCCGCATATTTTGTGACCTTTGACACCATGACTGACGGCCAGGGTATCAGCGGCATACACACATTCGACTTGCCTACTTGCTGGGTTAGTGACATAGCCCTTTGGCTGCGAAAAGTCGAATCCAGTTTTGCTCTGCGGCAAATCACGAAGGAAGAAACCAAATTTCATTATTTCGTGGCCGTATTGCCACTGGAGATTGCAACAGATTACCGTAATATTATAGACAGTCCGCTCGCAGAGACTCCCTATACTATTCTAAAGGAGGCTGAGGGACAACAGCTGGACGGCACCATGTTCAAACAGCTTTTCCTCCAGAGGCTGCCCTCATCCGTGCAAGCTATCCTTGCACCCAACATTCCTTCTTCGTCAGTTCAAACGCTGGCAGAGACAGCCGACCGGATACTCGAGTACTATCAACCAGCCGTCTCGGTGAATGTTTCTACCCGGGCCGTAACGACACCTTCTATCGCAGATGTCGTCCGACGCCTGGATGCCCTCACCCTCGAAGTTTCCCAGCTCCAGGCCACTCGTGTCTACAACCCTCGTAGTCCTTCGACTATTCGTCGGCAAAGATCTCCCACTCCCAACCAAACATCAAATGATGGTCCCTATTGGTATCACCATAATTATGGTCCAAATGCCCGTCATTGTCAATCTCCGTGCAGACACAAGAAGTCGGCATCGGAAAACTTCGCCGCCGGCCAGTAAAGGTGACGAAAGTGGTCGGCTCATTCTTCTCCAGTAGCCTACTCTACATCTATGACAGGAATTCCAGTTATAACGACGGCTTCAGCGTCGTTAGTGCTATAACGATGACATCTGACGTCCCAGTTGAATTATGCCCTGTTGAAATCTCCAAGGAAGAACACAATAAGAACGCGTCGTCACGCGTCCGTTGTTGCAACCACTCTTTTTCAGGGGGTGGCAGTGGTTTATAAGAGATTGTCTGCACGTTCTCCTGTGGCGTGGTTGGCCGCATTGGGATAACTTCACGCGACCAGTTGGCCCTGGGGCTTTGTGTAGGCTCGTGTCCGTTCCTGC